CAGGAATGCATCCCATCCCACCATCTACCTAGCACATCTTGATGGGGTGCAAGGGTAGGAGCAATGTCAGTGCTGAACGCTACACCAGCACCAGCTCTACAATGACTAATCTTCTGGTGTAGGATGGCACAAAGTAACCACTCAGTTGCTTCCCCTCTACAGCCAAGGTGGCTGCTTCAACACCATTCAAGAGAAGTGAAGGAAACAGCACATTTGCATGAACTGTATTCTTTCCTGTAAAGGGTTTTAGGAGGCAAGATTTTTATTCTGCCAAATCCTTAACACAAAACTTAGCTCTAAGTTCTGTGCACCACCAGAAAAGCTTTAGGTTCAGCTCTGACCTCCTATCAGTCTTAAACTATTGCAGTCCACTCTTTTGCACCCTTGACCAAAGACTGTTCTATGCAAAAAGAAACTATAACAGATCAAACCAACTGTTCTGGTCTTTCAATCTTCTTATCTTCGTCTCCTTGAAATATGACAAACTGCAGGTAAAGGATGCAGAGCAAGTCCTTTGCAGTGAACTTGCATCTTAAGACCCAAATCCAAAGAAACTGACAGGAGGATAGTCCCAAGCAAAGTTTTGATGTTCAGGTCAATTCCGTCCAGCTCTTTTATTAAGCCAATGTCTTGTTAAGTGCTCTGCTGAGATAACTGCTGCAGGAATGATGAACACCAATGTGGGAATCTGCTCCTGCATGCCTAGCCCTTGTGTTTGTGGAGAAAAGTTTGATAATGTGCAGAGGCTGGAAAACCAAGAGGTATATATAGCCTCCCACATACCTTTCTAAATCTGGTGCTTTTTTAGCCTCTTGTATCATGGGTGGGACCAACCATTGATCTGTGAAGACTGGGTACGAGCCCATCTCCACTTGCTGTGGAGTAGGTTCCTCTCCAGGGCTCATTAAGCTTCAGGTGTAATTTGCTAGCTGCAGCACTTGCAGAACAAAAGCTCCACAGACACTGGGGCTGTAGGAACCTGCAGCTAGGCATGGATACAGCCCATGGACATATGGCACCTCCAAACTATGCACCAAGGAAAGCCTGGCAGAGCCGTGATGTGGAAACTCAGTTACTATCCCCAATTTCTGCTTTCAGCTCTCTGAGGCACAAAGGCTTCTGAAACAAGTGGTGATTCACAAAGCCCATGGTGTGGCCCCATGACACCAGCAGCTTTGCATTAGTACCTTGCTGAGTATCACATCACCTATCTCACACCGGTAGTGATTTAACAGCTCACAGGTATTTCACAGACATACAAGCTGCTCTCCTACATGCATGACAGTAAAAGGTATCATATGGAGATTAGATCTCAGCTGACAATGCTCCACACCTCGAAGAAGAGGATGACCTATTGAATTGGCTGTGACACTCCTTCTTTGGTGAACTACACACTTAATCATTATTCTGACTTTCTTTTTGTTTGTTTGTTTTTAAAGTAGGAGCTTGAGGAAGCCCTGTTATGTTTTCACTAAACACATCTAGAGAAGCAGGGCCTTCTTTTCCACTCTGCTGATGCAAGGCTAGACACCAAGTGTGTTCCCACCATGAGGACAGCATGTTTGGAGGAACACTGCACAGATCCAAACCTGTTTGAAATTCAGACTGAATCTTACTGTGGTTCAAAAAAGTCAGTCAGTTTTAATTATCCTCATATCCATAGCAAAAGTTGGAATTTTTTTGAGAACATCTGTTTCATGTGAATTTTCTGGAATCAAAATGACCTTGACTAGTTACTCCAATAACAGCATAGTTTCAGCTACTGGATTCTGTTACAGCTTTTTATTTAGATCAGTGTGACCTCTTCTAGCAAAAGTTTTTCTCTTCCTATAAGTAGTTAGAAGCTATATTCAAACCACCTTGCATTGCTCTCCTTGACCATTTAAGTAGATTAAACTTCTCTCCCCTTGAAAGGGAGGTTTGGCTTAACATAAATAATTTTTAAAGCACTTTCCTGAATTCTTAACTACATGATCCCAACCAGAGACCATGCTCTCAGCTGGGTGCCCTGACACCTGCCAGTTACTGTGCCTCCCCTCTCCTGGGTGAGCCACTATCTGCAGGAGAAGATGCCTGCTGCAGAGAGCTCCTACCATAGCCACACACATTTGCCAACATTGCAGGGGGTTTCCACAGTCCAACAGTCCTGCCCAATGCTGCTGGTTACTGCAAGGACTCTGCTCTTCCCATTATCTGCCATTATTTCCCAAAACACATCATCACACAAGTTTCCCGCGGCCCTGGAGGCAAAGACTTGCTGCAGGAAAAGAAAGAACCTCCACCAGCACAAACCAAATTAAAGGAGCGCAGAAGAATAGCCATAAATTGTGTTGGTGTTTCTCAGCAGCTCTGGGATTTTCTTCTCCTTCTATAGAGGGGGAAAAAAAAGTTCAGCTTCTTCTCTGCCTGGCAGCTCTCAGAGCCCACTCACTCAACAACCCACACACGCATGGGGAAGAAACAGCCCAGCCCGGCAACTTAATTTCATCAAGGTAACACCACCCAACAAAAGACAACTGGGGGAAAAAACAAACAAACAAACAAAAAAAAAACAGAAAAAAAGAAGAAAAAGTAATACTTTGCTTTTGCAAAAAAAGCTCAGAGTAAAATGTCTACAACCCCTCTTGCCCCTCAACTCTTCAGGTAAGAAAACCAGACAACTCATCAAACAGCACAGGAATTAATCACCTTGTACCTTTCTGCAAAAAGTCTGTTCAGACACAACTGGGAATGTGACAACCCTCAGGGCTGATCTGTTCATACAAACACCCAGGTAACTCTCCTCATCAAACTTATTTTCTCTAATTCTTCTCCTGTTCTGTAATGAATAAAAGTGATGGGAGAGTGGTCCTACCTACAAGAAATTAGTTACACACAGACAAACAAGAAGTACTCCCGGTGACCCTTCAACCTCCAACAACAGGGAAGAGTTTTCAGACCCAAAGTGTGTAATTTAACTCCCTGTCACGTTTTCACAAGAGATGAAACTGTGGGAACAAAGGAGAACATGCCCTGTCCTAGTGTTCAAACACAGAAAACTAGCATGGGAGGGATCCTGTGTATTAAGGCTTTGGTTCAGGACATTTTCTGGAAGAAAGAATGCACTTGAGCACGAATTCCGCTTTAATACTCCGCTTACATTCCCCCAAAGTCAATGGGACTCAAGTCCATGCTCTGTTGACTGAAGTGAGACTTCAGTCCATGCTTGAATACCTTTCATTTGGTGTCTGATGCAATCGACTCGAGGGGCATCCAAGATAAAGAGAGAGCCATTTCCAAGAGTGTAAAAGGAAATCAGAATATTTTTAGGGCATTGCACTCAAATACCTTTTACTGAACAATGCAGTTTTTGTGAAATTAACAGCTGGAATATTTATTTTTGCCGACGAAGGCTACAGGGAAGTCAGCATGAAAATCTTTGCAGACGTCTTCACAAATAGTTAATGTTGTTGCAAAAATTTCTCAAGTAAGTTTAGTGAATTCTGTGAATAAACTCAACTCCACTGGTTGCAAAGGAGGAGGCTGAAAATATGACAGCAGCTACCAAACAACAGGTCTTTTTTCTAACCTGTTTGAACAGATTTTCATAGATTTTTCCCAAAACTGAGGCTGGGATATGGTCTCTCAGAGCTGTCTCTTCTCCTGTGAAGGGTGTCTACAAGAACACACTGATGCTTCAAGGCACAGGAAAAAACTGAGCTCTTAGTTAGACTCCTAAATTCAGAGATGAAAGACCTGCAGCCTGAGCCCATTTGTGTATAAGCAGTGGGAAGACAAATTAAAAAGCAGTGTAGGATTTCAAATAACTCATTGGTCTGGGCCCTTGGGACTCAAAGCCAGCACATCTGGGGAACATCTCTGCATCGCCTTCAGTGAAGGCTCTTTGACTCTTCCTCTTGTCACCCCAGGCAGCACACAAGACATGGTCCTTCTCCACTGAAAATGCCAGCTTGCATAGAGAAAAGAGGGTGCAGGATCTCTGCAAAAAGACTTTTGAGCAAAATCTTCACCAAATGGTTATTTCAGATAAGCGGGCAGTGTTCTTTGAACTAACATGTTCAAAGGTAGGTGTCCCACATTAGCTGTGAGAAGCCCACTGAGACAATCAAATTAATGCATTTCCAAATAACAGGCAACCCCACCAGTGGCTGTTACACTTCCAAAGAGCGTGGAGCACCACTTAAGCATATTGTGGTGGACAAGAGCACTCAGGACAGATAAGGCCATACTCTTCAAATGCTCCTCACCCACACCTCTACTGCCTATGCAGATGATGCAGGACCCAGTTGCATCAGAAGCAGACTCTGCCTGTGGGAGACTTCCAGGGAAAGCTTTAGTGAGGCTGGCACAGAAGGATGGAAAGGGAAAGTCCCCAGCTGAGAGACATGTTATGAGCTGCCTCATTTTGCCCTAAAAGCAGGAAAGCCCAAAGGACACAGGATTACACTTCTCCACCATGGAGAGGTAATGTTTAGAAGTGGTGTGTCTCCATTGCAGTGGCACGACTATGAAGAACAGCTTGGAGGATGCAAATGAAGGAGTATGAAAACAGTTGCCCTGTGCAGGCCCCATCCCCACCTCTCTACATACCTTCTGCAGCTTGTCTGCCTTCTCATAGTACCCTTCCAGCTCCTGCCGCAGCACGTGGTTCTCCTCAGAGAGCATCTCCACCATCTGCTGTGCCCGCTCCACGATGGCAAAAGCGTCGGGTGTCAGCTGCTGGCCTGGTGGTGTCGGCGTCGATGCCTGGGCAGTGGTGGGGGCTGGCAGTGGTGGCAAGGCTCCTGGGAGCAAAGGGCCACCAGCAGCAGTGGCCTGTGAGGACATGGGGCTGTGCTGCTGGGCCGGTGGTGGCGGGAAGGGCGGCTGGCATTGTCGGCTGTGAGGAAGCACACAGGGAAGGCATTAGAGCCGCTCGCCCTTGAAACGCGCGCAGGAGCTTTCACCTAATGACTGCATGGTTTATTAATAGGGTTATAACTGTATGGTTGTGATTCCTGTCCTTAGTCACTGCTAAATACCAACAGTCACAGCAGGGACTGGGTAAATTGTCTCCTCGCCTGCTTTTGACAGTGATGTATACATCTGGCACGAACGGATAAAAGAAGCATTGACTGGAAAACGGCACTTTTGCCTAGGTGAGCAGCTAATATTTCAGCAGCCACCGAGCCTCTCCCTGCCCCCCTTGCCACAAACCCCACCACTGAGAAGCATAAGCCAGCAGGCTTGGAGGAAACACAAGGGATGCATTACTCACCCTTCGAACACAGCTCCCTGCCTGGAGCGAGACCGGCTGATCGGCCAAATTGGGAGGCGAAAGGAAGTGATGTGAGCGCAGCAGCGTCCCTGAGCGGCTCTAGCGAGCGGCAGAGGGAAGGGCTGCTGCAGAGCTGCTGGAGGCTTAGCCCCAGTCACTCACAGTGAGCCACAACTGCCACCTCCCAGTGCAAGACCTCAATGTGTCACTCCCCAGCTAACCACATCCATCATGCACCAGGCTCTTATTAGAGCAGGATAAGAAGAGAGCTGGTGATGGACCTTGTGGGTAAGGCTTTCTGACAGCAGGTAGCTCTTTAATCCACCCAAGTCACAATTAGGAATGGCTGGAGATAACCCTGGAGGATGTCTTAGCAGTGAGGACAACCCCCTCACTTCTGTCCTGCATTTCATCCCTGTGAGCTCGAGAACGGAGACTGCTCCTGTTTCATAAAGGAAAAACTCAGGCAGGGAGCAGCTCGGAGCTTGTCTGCTCCAGACTCATTTCCATCCCTCCATCACACAGCCTGCCTTGGAGGCTCAGCCAGGGTGAGCAGCAGAGCCTCGCTGTGCCCAGACACCAAAGCTGTCAACTTTCTACACCACACTTGTCTAAGAGACTCAACAGAGATTACATGGCACATCTATGTTCAAGCCCATTTTGGCTGGAAAATAAGCTGGCTGCTGGATCCCACCTGAAGCCTGCAATCAAGCACCTCCTGGAAGCTGTATTTTAGCTTAACCACAAGCTATTAGGCCTGCTGTAGCTATTGCTGCCTTTATTTCTGTACCCTACATGAGGCAGGAGACCTAACAAACACATGTATTTACCCCATTTGGCCTCAAAGATCCATTAATGCTACTTTTTAGGCAGACAATTTTGTGCTATATAAATACATAATAAATATGATGCTTGTTGTCTTCAGCACCTACACAGCTTCTCAAAGCAGGGTTTTCAAAAGCTCTCAGCATTGGCTTAATTCTACTGATAATAACCTGTCACTGCCTTCAACTGCAGCACAAGAAGATGAAAAGGGAGGGTAGTTTTAAAGCCCTGCCCTAAGAGTGAACAGCACTGCTCTAATAAGCTTGTCCCCACCAAGCCACACAACACTGAGGGAAGTCAGCAATTCAGTCTTATCTCCTGTCCAAACTAGAGGGAAAGCAAATGGGGTTCTGCAGCCCCCCAGACACAGTGCACACACAGCCTCATGCTCCCATCCCTGCTCTCCTTTTTCGCCTGATGCATCCACCATGGTGCAGGAAGGTACTGAAAAGGAGTGAAGACCAGAGATGAGCTATTCCCCAATGCAAGCACACTGCTAACCTGCCTGGTCTGGGCTCAGTGTCCCTGGGAGGAAGATCCTGGCAAAGCTTCATGCAACCAGCATTTGGAAAGCCTGTACTGAACATACTCTGGCCTCCAGAGGGGTTTTACCTGCACAGCACAGACACAGCCAAAGGCCATGTCTCCCCATCTAATTAAATATCCATTGAGGCAGATCAGGAACACAGGAGAGGGGCTATTCCCCACAAGCAGCTCCCAGGGCAAGGAGAGTTTGCTCTTGGCTCCAGGCACGTTACTACTCTGGCACAGGTGCAAGCTAATGACTAAGGAACCAGATTTCTACAGAAAGTGGGTAACACTTTCCAAAGGACAGTAAGGCAAGGAGGTGATATACGACACTTCACATATGGCCAACTAAACATACAGCAAGTCATAGAGTAATGAAATAATTTAGGTCAGATGGAGCTTTAAAGTTACTCCCCTCAGCAATGATCAGGGACATCTTTTACTGGATGAGGTTGCTCAAAGCCATATCCAGCCTGACCTTGAACACTTCCAGGGAGGGGACAGCCACAGCTTCTCCAGGCAGCCTGTTCCTGTTTCACCACCCTCTAAATCTACTGTCTTTTGGTTTAAAACTGTTGCCCCTTGTCTCATCCCTACAGATCCTGGTAAAAAAAGTGTCTCTCTCCTTCTTATATGCCCCCTTTAAGTACTTTCAGGAACTGAAAGGATGCAATAACATCTCCCCAGAGCATTCTATTCTCCAGGCCAAAAAATCCCAGCTCTCTCAGACTGTCTTAATACGAGAAGTGTTCCAACCCTCTGACCATTTTTGTACCCCTCCTCTGGACCTGCTCCAACAGGTCTATGACTGTGTTGTGCTAAGCTGAATGCAGTACACCAGGTGGGGTCTCCTGAGAGTGGAATAGAGGGGCAGAATCACATTCCCCAACCCGCTGGTCACACTTCTTTTGATGCAGTACAGGATACAGTTGGCTTCTAGGCTGCAAGTGCACATTGCCAGCTCACATCCAATTTGATACCCATCAGTATCCCCAAGTCCTTTTCTGTGTGACTGCACTCAATCACTTCATTCTCCAGCCTGTACTGAATACTGGGGATTGCCCCAACCCATGTCACCTTTACCCCTCCTCTGGACCTGCTCCAACAGGTCTATGACTGTGTTGTGCTAAGCTGAATGCAGTACACCAGGTGGGGTCTCCTGAGAGTGGAATAGAGGGGCAGAATCACATTCCCCAACCCGCTGGTCACACTTCTTTTGATGCAGTACAGGATACAGTTGGCTTCTAGGCTGCAAGTGCACATTGCCAGCTCACATCCAATTTGATACCCATCAGTATCCCCAAGTCCTTTTCTGTGTGACTGCACTCAATCACTTCATTCTCCAGCCTGTACTGAATACTGGGGATTGCCCCAACCCATGTCACCTTTCACTTGGCCTTGTTGAACTTCATGGGGCTGGCATGGTCCCACCCCTCAAGCCTGTCATGGTCACACCCCTCAAGCCTGTCATGGTCACTCTGGCTGGAATCCCTTCCCTGAAGCAACTGCACCACACAGTTTGGTGTGACCTACAAATTTGCTGAGGGTGCACTTGATGTCACCCTACTGTTTATGTCATTGATGAAGATATGAAATAGTATTGATCCCAGTATGGACCCTTAAGAGACACCACTCATCACTGGTTTTCACAGGGATGTTGAGCCATTGACTGTGACTCAGTGGACATGGCCATCCAGCCAAGTTCTTATCCATCTAACAGTTCATCCATCAATGGACTCTTCAGAGTGAAGAATGTTGTGGGGGACTGTATCAGAGGCCTTACAGAAGTCTAGGTAGGTGATACCATAGCTCTTCCCTCATCCACTAATGCAATCACTCCACCACAGAAGTCCCTTAGATTAGTCAGGCACTACTTGCCCTTGGTGAAGCCATGTTGGCTGTCTCTAATCACCTTTCTGTGTTCCCAGTGTTTCAACATAGCTTCCAGAATAATCTGTTCCATTATTACCTTTTCTTAAAAAACATTCTAAAGTTTTATCTGTCCTTACTTGCTCACACTGGCCTCAGTCATCTATCTCATGCTGCAGCACACACTACAGTGGCAATGCAACTGCACGGAGAAGCTGGAGAAAAGGAACAACATCAGCTACACAAAAACACCCCTCCATGAACACCATGCTAGCTGGAACCAAAAACTATCCCACCTTGCCAGAGGAGAGAATGCTACTGCATCTCTTTCCTCTGTACTGACTGCAGTCATTCGCTGCAGAGCTCAACACTGCCCTAGAAGGATGGGGGACATTCCAAAGGGGAGCATCTGATTTTGATTCAGGGTATTGGGCTGCTCTGCTCTCTTGCATTTGGAAAAGGAGTGTGCACCACCCAGTCTGACTTTCTGACCAGAGTGTCTGGACTGTGGCCTTCAGAGGAAAGCCCTGAGCTGCAAAAGGACGCATGTCATGATCTCCCCTGAAATCCACTCAAAATGGTGGGCCCAAGGTGGCCCCAGAGCACCTGAACACTGGCACCAGGTTAAGATGATGTTCCCTGCTCACTTGCCTTTGAGATCACTGCCTCACTACTTCTGTCTGCTGCTGGGACCTCACAGCAGGATGCCCTGGGGGGTGATACTGACCTGGGGGGATCACTTTACCTTTCTGAGACCAAAACCACATTTCCTAGCAGTGCCTGGTGACCCAAGGCTGTGTGAGCCAGTGAGCCCTGTGCCAAGCTGCCTTCCAAATTGCAAGGACAGCCCACCATGAGAACAGCTCTCACAACATCCTCACACTGTTCCTTTCCTTCTGGTGTCCCAGCATGTAAAACTCAGCAAAGGATCCTGCACCTGTCACAGGACTGGAATATTTTTTTTTGCTCAAAAATCTGAACAATGAAGAAAATCATGAGCAAGGGATGTTGCTCATGATACAGAAGATGCTACAGAAGCATGTGCAAAGGCAGCCAAGAACCTGGCACCTTCTCAGTGCTGCTGACAGCCAGTCTGCACATGCATGTTTTCTTGTGGCAATGAATTCAACCAAGAGTGAGTTTGTTTGGCTTTACGAAAGCAAAGGCCACAGCTGATTTTATGCAAGTAAAAGCCCAGCTGTCTGGCCACCATTATACACCACTACAAAGACACAGATTTGCTACAGGTACAGATTTTCTCACTTTTTTATGGAACTAGCTTAAGGCAATATAATTAAATTGACCTCTGAATCTAAACCAGTGGAGATTTAGCAATTTTTCTTTTTCATAATGAACTACAATCTTTGGTTGTAGATACACTCTTCAAGTACTTGTAAGAA